AATATGAATTGAAGCTTAACATCAAGAAAACAAAGATTCTCACCACTGGGCCAACTGGCAGCATCATGATAGACAATGAAGAGATTGAAATTGTTAACAGCTTCAGTTTGCTTGGCTTCACCATCAACACTCTTGGTACCACCAGCCAGGAAATTAAAAGACAAACTGTGATAGGAAAGTCTACTGTGACAGACCTCTCCGAAGTATTGAAGAGCAGTGATGTCAATCTGGAAACTAAGGTGTGCCTGATTCACACAATGGTCTTTGCAATTACTTGGTATGTGTCAGAAAGCTGGATAATGACTAGGAATGATAGAAGGAGAATTGATGCCTTTGAGCTGTAGTGCTGGAGAAGAGTACTGAATATACCATGGGCTGCTAGGAGAACAAACAGGTTCATCCTGGAGAGGGTGAAACCAGGCTGCTCCCTGGAGGCAAGAATTCCGAAGCTTCGTCTTACCTACTTTGGACATGTTGCAAGGAGGGACCAGTCCTTGGAGTAGAATGCCATGCTTGGGAGGGTGGAAGATTAGCACAAGAGAGGAAAAAGGAAGACTTTCGATGAGACAGATTGATTTAATGAATAGAGTAATGAATGGGAGTAGGTATGTTGGAGACAGATTGGCACAGGATAGAGCAGGGAATAGGGCTTTTGTATATAGAGTTGCTATGAGTCACAGGCGGCTCAACAGCACATAACAACAACAACCAGCTAAATTTGTATTGTTTTTGTTGTGGACCTCTGAATCAGAAACAACCCATAGCTGGACCTCCAGTAAGTTTCCAGAGACAGTGAATCGCACAGGAGGAGACTGCCCACCATTCCCCTATGGAACAGCTAGTGGATTCAAAACTCATACCTTTGCACAGGCTATACAAACTATGCTTCCAAATGTTTTATTTGGAACGTTCTGCTTGCTTCTATAGGCCAAAAAAAAATCAAAATATATGTCCTTTATATTTATTTTAAAAGCAACTTTTTACAATTGTAGTTCCTCTCTGGGAATGTTCTAAAACATCAATGTAAGACATAAATAAGCTGTCTCATGTAGGATGTTTTATAATAAACCTTCTAATGGCTGTTAGCTAAGAAACTTTCAATTAATTGCAGAGAGCATTCTACATGAGCCTTTTAGAAAATTCTAATTCTAAGCAAAGTAATAGCTTTTAAATAGAATTTTGTTGCCTTGAAATGGATTTAATCTACATTTTTACAAATATCCCAGGAGATACTGTTGTAGAGTCTAGTCTTCAGGCCACATTATGAGAAACACAAACCTAGAAGATAAACTCCAAAATTACACTCACCTGTCAACCAGCTTCATTTGCAGCCACAGATGAGGACTTTTAACAATATCAAGAGTGAATGAATCTCTCCGAGTCATGGCATTTCTTGCCTCTGAGCCTTTGTTCTTGTTTTCCGTTTTTCAATGATCCCTTCCCTCTCCTCATTTTTACCTCATTAGTTGAATGACCCAGGAAGCATCAAAATAAGATGGAAGAAGTACCCAGTCACTACACCAAAAAGAACTGGCTGACACAGAACTTTATGATCAAAATGCCTGTGACTAAGGAGGAAGTTCAAGCTGCTCTAAATAAACAAGGCCCCAGGAATTAATGGCATACCACCTGACATATTTCAACAGATGTTGTCCTGGACATGTTCACCAGGTTGTGCCAAGAAATCTGGAGGACAACCATCTCGCCAAATGATCCATTATTTATTCTCATTCCAAAAAAAATGTGATCCAACAGAATGTGGAAATTATCAAACAGTATCATTAATATCACCTGTAAGCAAGATCCTGTTGAAAATTATCCAAAACTGACTGGAACAGTACATCAACAGAGAATTGAAAGATGTGCAGGCTGGGTTTAGAAGAGGCTGTGGCACTAGGGACATTATAGCCAATGTTAGATGGATCTTAGCCAAAAGTAGAGAGTACCAGAGGAATGTCTATGCTTCATTGACCATACAAAGGCATTTGATAGTGTGGATCACAACAAACTGTGGCTAACTCTGAGAAGAATGGGAATCCCAGAACACATAATTATGCTTATGTAAAACCTATACTTGGAGCAGGAGGCAGTCATCAGAACCGAGAAAGGAAACACTGGATGGTTCAAAATCAGGAAAGGTGTATGCCAGTAATGCATTGTATTTACATATTTTGTCAGTCTGTATGCTGAACAGATCATCCATGAGGCTGGGCTCTATGAGAAGGAATGTGGCATCAGGATTGAAGGAATATTGCAATCCTGATGATAACCTTGCTTACATTATGTAGATGACAATCTTGTTTGTTGAAACTGAGGAGGACCTGAGGCATTTGCTACAGAAGATCTAGGACTGCAGCCTTCAATATGGATTGAAGCTCAACATAAAGAAGACAATGATTTTCACCACTGGACCAATAGGCGGTATCATGCTAGACATAAAAGAAATTTGGGATTGTTAGCAGCTTTGCCTGGCTTGGCTCCACACTCAACACTCCAGCAGCCCTGGAATCACAAGACAAATTGCATTGGGAAAATCTGCTGTTAAGGACCTCTCCAGAGAACTGAAGAGCACTGCCATCAGTCTAGAGACTAAGGAGTGCCTTATCCAGGCCATCGTCTTTGTAATTACTTGCTATGTATCAGAGAGCTGGACAATGACTAAAGATGGCAGTAGAAG